TATTCGTTTTATTTTACAATCTAACATAGCTAATTCTCCTTGTTCATTTTCTGATTCAAATGTGAATTTAATTCCTTCTACTTGTGAGTTTATATGTGTCAGGAAGCTAGAGATATGTTCTGTTTTTAACACCGTGAAAGTGTCATCCACATATCTCCACCATATTTTTGGAGTGGGGTTAAACGTAGACATAGGTAAACGTAAACATAGGTCAAACTAGTAGGTCAGGGATAGTCAGATTAACAGAACATAAGAATTTAGCTAAGGTAAGAATGGTTGACCCTAAAAAGATAAGTAATTTAGAAAAAAGCTCAGCTATTGCACTTCATGCAATAACAAACAACCACACAATAGGGTGGGATAGGGTTAAAATTCTAAAAAGTAATATAGCTAGGTGGAGAGAGAGGTTGATTACGGAATCCTTATTTATCGAGTCCACACCCAACACATGCAACAAAAATGACTCAATGCAAATACCAGAGATATGGAAGATATTATTACCGCAGGTCAAATCAGAAGAAGGTAATAAATAATATTAAAATTCTATTTCGATTCAAACACATCACAACATCCTAACAAAAAACTTATAATGGCTATTAAAACACTCGTCGTATCTTCCATCTGATTATAGTAGATCAATAACACTCGTATTAATGCCATCAGTCAAACCAGAAGAAGATAATAAATAATCTTAAAATTCTATTTCAATTCAAACACATTCTAACAAGCAGCTTATTATGACTGTAAAAACACTCTTCCAATTTTCCCATCTAATTGCAATTGATCAACAACACTCGTACGATTATTTCTGAATGTACATTATCTCACATTGATTTTTAATCCAATATCTAATCCATTCCACATATGTATATAAATGAGAGATCAAAGTTGTGTGAGTAACTTGATATGATTATGAGCAATAGTTTGTGCTCGAAACGTCATCAGTTCATATAACTGTAAACACTGTGCGATTTATCAGAATAAAATCTTATCTATAATGGAATTCCTTGGACTATCTTTATGGATAAACCGATAGATTCATGGTATTTTCTTCAGCGTTAATAAAACAGCTGAGTTTTCAACGAAATCTATCAGTTTAAGTTGTTGTACTTCATTAAAGAATAAGTACAAGGAGAACAATGAAAGTCTGATAGATCTGGGAGTTCACATAAGTGGGGAGATGTATCTGTGTCATTGAGAATGATTCGAGTCATGCCATGAACAGTCCATAGCTATTGATTCTTAGTGGCTTGAGGAACCTAGCCAAGCGATATACATCTAGTTAAGTGACTCAAACGGCGAAGTTCAACAATAGCGTCCCAGGAGCGCGAACGCTCCAATGACCTCAAACGCATGCTTGTCGTTGACTAACGGCACCTTTCATTATCATAGCTGGAATATCAACGCTGTTCACCAACTAAGGAGCAAATTTGACCTAGAACACATTTCTTAAGTACTGTTTGGACAATGTGTTAATAGCTCGTTAGGGTTAAGGCGAGAGTATTGGGGTTAGGGTTAGGATCAGGGTCATTATTAGCATTAGAGTTAGGTTTACGGTTAGGGTTAGCGTTAAGTTTAGGGTTAGGGTGAGGATTAAGGTCAGGATTACTTTTAGAGACAGATTTCATGTTGATGCCATTTATTTTAATTTGTTTTATCCACATTTTCCAGGTAAGTAGTCATTAGTCCTCTTACTGGAAACCACAGCAATTCAACCGAGGTCTTTTGGGGAAGACTGCACAACGGGATAAGAGAGATAAACGATTCACAAAAACAGCTCATCACTAGTCACCTCTGTGAATGCATGTACAGAAACTAGTCTATCTTCGCAACTGATACTCCTCATTATAACTGGGACGTATTTTCAAATCATGTCAGAGAAAGACACCCTGTTTAATGTGTTTTCATGCATTTTCTTGTAAATATACGTCAGTTTTTGTGCGAAAATTCCTTATTTTTATGATTGGTCGGCTGAAGGTCCCTTATGCGTTCGGATCACTTGGGACGCTATTGTTTAACTATCCCACTCAAACTAACAGTCAGAGACTTTATGGCTTGATTTGAACCCTACCCAACGTTTTTTTTAACTTTATCTAATATGGAATTACTTAATACCACAGTCCCCAAGTTTTACACATATATTTATCTAACATGAGATAACACAAGGGCTGCAACGTGTTTATCACTCTCAGAGAAGCCGTATAGCTGGACACTGTATGAGTTTGTTATTATCATAGATGGATGAAATTCGATATATATATATATATTCTTACCTGACGCTCACACGAACAAGACGTCTAGTTAAGTTTCTTAACATAAGCCTTACCACCACATCATGTAGCATCAGCTCCGGTTGCACCAAAAGAAAACGGTATACGTCCTGTCAACGTCGACTAAGATGTCGTATTATAACCCCCAACTAAGTAATGGAAAGCCTACATAGCTGCTCAATTGACCAGTTCCTTCAGGCTATTCCTTACAGAAGGGGCATTACCGATTGACTGGGGGAATGCAATAGTCACCCATACTTACAAGAAAAGATTTAGACACTGTCCCTTAAAATACAGACCTACTATACTCTCAGAAGCATTTTGATTAAGACAGTGGAAGGGATAATCAGGAAAGTAATCACGGCTAATTTAGAAACAACTTTTTATCCAACGCATAACAGAGCTTTTCGGTAAGAGTTATCTTTAACATCTGACACACTTAACGCCAAGGAATTGATAAGTGAAGTCCGCGGATAACAAAAAACTCATGACCATCTTTATAGAATGTAGAACGTTTTTGAAAAAGTGCTTCGTACAAGATTGCTTATGAAACTGGAACTTTTCAGCAACCCCATATCTTGAGTCTAACTTACACTTCAGTGAGGTGGAATTTGAAGTCACAAATGTTTTCCAAAATGATAACTTGACTGGAAAAACCATGCAGAACATTGCACATATGTGCTACAACTCAATTCACCACTATTCACAAGAGAAGATAGGAAAAGGCAACAGAGGTATTGTGATACTAGGATGTGAAATAAATTTCAAACATAACTGAAGTCTCAGTTGTCATCACAGGAAGACAACACTATGCACCAAGTCATCTACCACACCTACAAACAACTAGCAATATGAGCAAGGCACAGACCTAAGAGACACCATGCCAGTCAGTAACTCTTAATATCTAGCCATCAATCAACCACGTCCAGTATTCAATAAGCAGGTTTTGCACCATGTATGTCTAATCTTTAGTGGGTTGAAAACCATGGACACACAGGTGAAGTTACACTGATCCCAAATTGAAATTTGGAGGAAATGCAGTGATTGCCTCCGAAAATCCCAAACCCTACCTCATATGAAGCAGACACTTAAGGCCCGTTAAAAAATAAATTATAAGCATAGTATGTATGGTTACCAGGAAAACTAGCGCTGCTCCAGATAATAAAATTCCCACCTTTTTAGTTACTTTACAAAAATATCTAAATACACACACGTAACATTAGCCAGATTTCAGATTTATTGGTTGACGATAGAACGCTTGAAACCTATGTTAATCCTTTTCCAGTAAATTTCTGTGGTTGTCCAAACCCCTCTTGAACGAATCAGTTGAGGTTGCAGACACTACTTCTTCTGGGAGTCGGTTCCAAGAGTTTATGACTAGGTGTGAGAACCAGTACTCAACAGCAATATGATTTCCTCTTGGCTTTTGAACTCTCCTGCTATGTCCTCTAAGGTTTTCGGACCTGATGGGAAGGAAAAGAGAGAATAGGTCAGGTCCGTAGTCATTATTTGAAATTTTAAACATTGTGATTAAATCCACTCTCCGCCTACGGTATGACAGGGAGAAGAGATTTAAACTGTCTAGTCTTTCCTCGTATGATAAGTTAGTCATGCCGTGAACCATACGTGTTGCTTTCCTTTGAACACTTTCTAGAATGTGAGTCTCCGCTCAGACAAGGACTAAATAGAGCTTTCCAGTCTTGACCTCACCAGAGATGTATATAAGGAGGTGAACATATCTCTGGTGATTCTAGCCGCATCACATAGCTTGTATTTTCAGTAAGAAAAGCATTACACATTTATAATGCATTATGAAACTGATTAGCTCAAATAATTGCTACAAGATTTTACTATTCTTAATACATTAATCAAAATACTTACATAGGAGTCCTGGTAGCCAGGTACATCTATAACACACACAGACCACAGTCACAACTAACCAAAGAAGAAGACAAAGATGGGGAAAATAGATATAGGCAGTTTTTTATTGGCTGTTGGCTAGCTGGCTTTTTATTGGTCTAAAATATAAATTAAAGCGCCAATCTCTTTATTTTTACACGGAAATTTACAGTCAGTAAAATTTCGGGCTTACCTTACCATAATATAATGGCGTGTTAATTTTTTTGGTGTGAGTTTAGTGTGATAGTCACACGCTATTTGGATGCATTGTTGATGTTTAAAGTATATTGAGATGTATGAGAATGTCCAGAAAGTGAATATAAATCAACAATAATTTTGATGCATTTATTTTAAGTCCAAAATAGGATGTATGCCATTTTGGTTACTAGGCGAATATAATTCAACCACCATTTCTATAAATTTAATGTGTCCTGAATTATTACATGTAGAAATATGTATGTAGTAACTAATCTACTTTTTTAAGTTGTCACTTCAATGATTTGTGGGAATTGTGCGTACTACGTCAGCATAAATGAAGTAAATTGACAAGGTCATGGCCAGTGGTATATAAGCACTGAAATGTATACTAGTGTTTATTTACTTGAAGTCATAGTGTTGTGCACGTTAGGAATTGTTAAAACGATTAAATGATGTTGCAAAGTACTCCTACTGCGTCTACTTCAAGAAATATATCATCTTTATTGTGTGATGTAACAGCTATATTCCAAAGGATAATGTTGTGTTGTATATTTTATACATGGACACAATTTAAGGAAGCTTTAGACACATTTATGAAGGTACTAACTAAGTTGTTCTTTATTTCTTTGAAAGGAATCCAATACATCCTATCGTGTTGATTCAAGTAAAAAAGATCCATCCGGTGCTGATGACTACAAGTTTGTTAAGTTTAAATGCACTTTTGGAAGTCATCGTGCTCCCCGAGGTGCTGGCTTTAGGAACAGAGGGTAAGTTGGCTGCGTGTGCAAATTTTAAAAATTTTAAGGTTCAAAAGTACATCATGTCAGTCAATAATTCTAGTCCAGCGGAAATCCAACGTATACATGATAACCAAGTACAAAACTGTGCATAACCATCCCTGCACAGCAAGTTTTATGTCCACCGATGTATCTAGACGTCGGTTATCATCACAAGAAATGGCAATTATCCAACCGTTCATTGAAAGGAATACTGATGTCCATGAAATCATGGATCTAGCACATGAGAAGTTCGGAAAAGCGCTCCTGTATAACGATATTAAAAACATGCGGGCTAAGATAAATAAACGTAAGTCCTATCAAAATAAATGGTGCAGTAGAATAGAAATTGGTTGTTTGGAAGAGCTGCTTCATCGACTGAGGCAGACAGGTCCAGTTAAAGTTTTGCAGGACAACGCAGGCTTTGTATCTAAAATCATTTTTGCTCGTAATGATATGATAGACGTGTATCATAAGTTTCCAGAAGTAGTTGGAATCGATTGTACTTACAAAACGAATAAGATGGGGTAAGTTTCAGTACAACAAGGTATAATTCCTTTTCCAAATTTGTTACAGATGGCCTTTATATCAGTTTGTTGTGACTGATGGATTCGGAAGAGGAAGGACTGTTTTGTTTGCTCTTACTAGGAGAGAAACGTTTGCAGATATCAAGGAGATATTGCAAACGTTTAAGAGATTTATGGTGGATACATCGAAAACATTAACATTCACTGTCGACTGTGCAACTGCACAGATGAAAGCCCTAAAGGAGGAATTCCCTAGTTGCAATATTGTTTTGTGTCTTTTCCATGTATGCCAGGCATTCAGAAGGAAGGTAAGTTACATTCCCATTAACTGACATAGGGAAAACAGTTCCCAAACCAGCTTGTTAAAAAGTGGTTGTATCGAATGGCGCACACGCGCAGTTATGACAGGTAGGTTAGCAAATCAGAGTATATTGCCAAAGGTTTTGGCGTTACCTAAACCTCATAAGTATTGTAGACGCTGAGGCTGGTGCTTACATTAGAAGGTACTGGCTAAGAACACGCAAATATTGGGCTGCATCGTGCAACAGGTTCACCATCAGCATGGGGAACAATACTAACAACAGAGTTGAGAATGCTCATAGGCAGTTGAAAAGATATCTACGTAAAGGTGATCCTATGGAACTGACGCTATGGAAAATATGGAGGTGGATCGACCACACAACCATGCGTAAAATACGTCAGGGCCAGTGGATGCTTGCTAAATACTACAATTACGATGTAAGTTTGAAGATAATTTACGATTTATCCTAGGTACCTAATTCCCTGAAGTCTCATTTACGGAGTCTCACACCGTTTGCTGCCCAGAAAGTTGTGTTAGATTTACAAAGGCGTTCCTTCTTCTTCCATTCAATATCTTCTACCTCAGTTGTTTACGCAGAAGGTGGTCACATATTCTTCGTAAACAGGAACGAGGCGAAATGCACATGTTGGACATACTGCGCATACAATTTGCCTTGTGCACATGTCGTTGAGGCGTTCTTGAACTCATATCTAAATTGTGGTATGTTCCATTTCTTTAAATGTTACTCTTAGATATTCTGAGGAATAGTGAGAGGTGGACACGTGTATATAACACAACGGACAACATTCCGAGGGCCATCCGGTTAATACCGGAACCAAACAACGCGTTTCGAAATGCTTATGAACGCTTAAGATGTCGTCTCAACAGTCTGAACCGAAGAAATCCGGATGCTGCACTGCGGGAAATAGCGGAGTTTACCAGAAGGTTGGACAGTTTGCTAGCAAATGAACCGCAAACAACTTTAAGATTACGACGTGCCCCTGTTAATCGATTATTTTTGTGAAAATATTTGTATTACCTTTTTATTTCCATTTGTATTCAGAATATAAACATGTATGTATAAACTGCAGTTACACTTCCTTTCCTTTCAAAAGGCTAAGACCGACAGTTTAAAGAATACTTTGGTTGATTGTTTCGTTAAGAGAGCGCTTTGAAAGTCACTTAGAAATTAAAACGATCTGTGCCTTATTTACTACGTTTTTCAGCCGAGCATTTGCGGTTCATAGCATATCATGAATAACGGTGATTAATACGATTTATCACTTAGACCGCAACACCACCAAGCCTACTATATTCATAAACTTATTCTAACCTATTCATCGATAAGGCCTTTTTATGGTAAATGAAGCTCTTATTTACCCACCATTTTCTCAAATAACGCTGGTCATGCTTACAATGATACCTAGGTGCTGAATTGAGTCTTTTAGTTCTGAAATAACGCTAGTTCGAAACTAATTTGTCCTGTGAGGGATGGAACAGAGCGGATAAGCAAACCCAGTCGGTTCCATTTACTTTCAATCATGATAAGAAACCAGCTCTTAGTTTTAATCTCAAACAATAGCAGAACGGTTAGGCAGTTTACTTATTGAATAAGGTTACTATATTATAAAAGTTTACCTTATTTGGCTGAATCATTAAAGGTTCAGCATAACCCTTGACTACCAACATAAAAACTGCGAACTTTAGGCTAAAAATCACCTTAATAGTAGTATCCAGTGACATAAACTGATCTACACACTGCGAAATGGGAAAAACATGCAAAAAAACCTTTAAAATTCAATGGAAATCGAATTCACGAAAACATATAACCAGCCGACGCAGGAACTCATCATGACCTTGAAACTGACTGTAGCCTCTTTCAAAGATGGGCAGCCTGTAGACGGCCGTAATTTTGAGTGACCGCGAATGAGATAAACAAGCGATTTGCTCGCTCGTGATTGGCCAGTTTGTCATTCTAGTTGAGGTAATTTCAAACATCATTTTGCTGCTTGGTTAAGTACTGAATTTCCGGGATCGTTTTATCAAATTTGAGGGATAACTGACAACACAAACTATTACAGCTCAGGAGGGAAATGAAATACCGGTGGATTTATTTGCTGAATTCAACGAATTCATGCCAAATTAAGATCTAAGGTCTTCTTAGGGGTGTGAAGAATGCAAACAATGTTCTGAAGAGGTAATAACTTCACGCAACTTCAATTATTGCTTGACCATTATTTTCAGAGATCCTTAAATAAGTATGATATACACAGTGGTCTGGCTAATCATGATCAAAATGGCATGCATGCAAGCTTGTTATAATTCTGAATTAAATCTCAATAATTCTGAAATAATTCTAGCATCCTATAGTGAGTAAATTCTGAATTTGTTCTGAAATCGTTTGTTTAGTGGTACAGACTAGAACTAAGTGCTAGTTTTCAGCATAGCTAGCGCTAATTCAGAACCGTGTTCTTCTTTTTAAGCATAGCAAAGACTAAATTCAGCACATAGTGGCAATTTTTTCAGCCTAATTTAAGCCTTCGCGGATCATTTTCAGCACTGACTAGCACTAATTCAGAACGAAAAGACTTAATTCAGCACATAGTGGCAATTTTTTCAGCCTAATTTAAGCCTTCGCGGATCATTTTCAGCACTGACTAGCACTAATTCAGAACGAAAGAACTTCTACTTATCATCATCCTACGCCGGCGAAATTCATTTATTCAAGTGCAGAAGAAATCAGTTTTTATAATTGAGACTTTTGTATTTATAAATTGTAGTACAACGTCACTGCAATCCGTCAAGTGCGATCCACTGGCAGCAACCTGCAAATAAGCAGAATAAAATATTAGTGGGTGAAAAATTGTGCTCAGCACATTCTGAGCACTGACATTTATAGAAGTTTACTTACATAAGTGCCACTGTTATATCCCCCAGTATCTTTTTCATTTGCCTAAAAAAGAAAACAATATTGTGATTACTACATGTTGAACAAACGTTCACTTATAGAAGTAAGCAGGCGTTTCACAATATTACCTGAATTCCTTGCTTCCGCTTACGCCTCTGGACACGATCTTTCAAATTATGAAAGTACGATTTCGTGGCCTTATCCATCATTTCACAAATCTCTCCGGTCGTCATTTGTTGGCCGGAGAAGTGCGACATAATTAAAGCTAGAGAACTAATTACTTCATTATTGAAACTTACTTCTCATTATTTTATAAAAGGCATAAGGAACAATGCTTGACTTTGACAAAGTCCCCTGGAATGTAAACTTCAAACCCAATTCAGGTTTTATAACTTGGTGCATCATGACCTTAAGCGACAACTTTGGATCACTCTGAAGGCAGCTAGCCATCTTAGCAGTCTACAAGAAATAAGAATTGAATACGTCAACTCACATATTGCTGTTTGTACTTTTCGTCTCTTAAAGATGCTTCCAGCATCTCTAACTGGTCTTCATTCTCGATCGGAAAGTGCAGTGTTAGGTCCCCGTTTGCTGGAGGGTAGGTTTGCTGTCGAGATTTTCTATCAGTAGTCATAATGTTCAATATTTTCGTGCACAGGTTAATGATTTCCATATTTGTATCTTTAAATAAATAATTATTTTCAAGTAATTACCGAGTAATTTCTTATTTGTGGATTCAGTAGCATATTCGTTAGACGGCAATCTAAAGCATAAATAAAAATTGTGACAATTATTCCTACCGGTCACACACATAGCACTTTTTGGCAATAGGAGATGAAGACTGAAATATGGGGGCACCCGAAGTACTGAAAATGAAGGGCTTTCCATCAAGTTAATACCTTGGAATTGGGGCCACGAAGTCATCAAATATGTTATAATCTGGATATTGTGGTTTGATGCAAGCAACCTCACTGGCAGCTACTTCAATATCCATTGAGTTGTAAAGGAAATTTTTGTCATTTTTCTTGGCATCCCTGAAAAATGTGTTAGACAGACAACGATACCTACCTTTTCGGTCTCTTACTGGGCATTGGCAACGTGTCATCGTCCATCTCTACATTCCTGGTGCCTTGATCATTGCTTTTCATAAGCTCTATACCCTTTTTACAGTTCTCATACGTATCTAGAAGGGTGATAATGAAATATGCCAACTTACCAAATTCCTGCAGTTGACGGAATTGAAATACTGACCATCCAGCCCCGGTAAACATAGGCTCTAGATGGTTTGCTGTGCTGCTGTACGCACATAAACCACTTCGCATAACCCAAGTGTTTGGGATAGCGACTACAGTGTCATCTTCAAGCGAACGGACGACGAGGTATCTGATTGGTGTAGAATTCTGCAAAAGGATATGTGATGAAGTGTAAATACGGCTGTTACTTTATCATGTATCAGGTTGCTTAAAATCAATAACAGCACGGATATACCTA